AAAAAAAAAAAAAAAAAAAAAAATCGACTGAATGAATGAATGAATCAGTGAATCAATCAATCAATCAATCAATCAATCAATCAGCCAATCAATCAAGGGGGATGGGGCGACCCTGCCCCCACCAATCAATCAATCAATCAATCTGTTATGACCCTGACCAATTGCGAGATACACATCCACTAAGAAGTACAATGCCATCCAATTGCAGAAAGAAATGAATGAACTTGAGAGGAGAGAGAGGAGTAGAAGAAGAAGAAGAAATGAGAAAGAAGAAGAAGAAGAAGTACACCAGCAAAGATGATGACAAGACTCTTCTTCTTCGCCCAACAATCTCCTCCTCCTTATCTCCCCCTTCTCTTATTCATACAATAAATAATAGTGCAATGTTGAATGACTGGTCCAGAATCATGTCCAAGTCTCTGTTCTACTGCAGGTATGACTCAAGCTCCACCATAGCCATGGCCGCCTCTCCCACTCTTCATACACATAGGCCGAGGCTATGGCGGACTACTAGGCCTTGCTCTGATGCCCAAAGGACAACACAAAGCAGCTATGGCTGCTTGGACTCAGGCCGCCATGTCCAACCCTGCCCTGAAGCTTCTTGGTGTGGCTTTCCCTGGCCGGGGACTCCTTGCTGCAGCGCCCACCAAGATGATGAAGATGGCTGCCACCATAGCCAGGTGAGTACCCCTGGCGCTCCTCCCCCTTCCTCCTTCTTCCTCCTCCTTCCTCCTTCTTCTTCCTCCGTGTCCTTCTTCTTCCTCCCCCTGCAGCGCTACTCCAACCCAGCACTGCTCCTCCTAGCGCTCCACCAGCGTGTCGCCAAACTTGCACACTGAGAATGAGGCCGGGGTCTTTGCCCGGTCTGAAGATATAGCGGCCTGCTTGCATCCTTGAGCGGTGACTTCTAGGCCGCTCGGCCTCTCCAGCAACCGGTACCTCCTCCGTTTCGGAGGGAAACATCATTGCAGACTTTGATATTGCCCGTACAGGGCTTAGACTCCGACTGGTTGGACTGGTACCTACTAAGGCCTAGCCTACAACTACTGGGCCTCTAAAAATGCCACTTTTGTCTTCTTCTGCTCGGCCTCCGGTACCTGCACATCTACCCCTTCGCAGTGCGGTACCGGCCTCCCGCTACTTGAGTGTTTCCCTGCTGCAATCCCCCGATGCCAAGGTCACAGGTAAGTATCGGCCGCGCGGGCCCAGCGAACAACAGGTGCCCTTACGGGCCACATTCAGCAATCAGCACACAGGCAACACGGTCACACACACACTCAAGCCAGCTAGCACTCAGACAGGCACGGTCACACGCACTGACGCCAGCCATCACTCAGACAGACATGCAGTCCAGCAAGCACGCATACACAGACGTAGCAGAAAGCGGGGAAACTCAGTCAGGTATTCAGTCTATGGGCAAAACTCATAAATCAGTTGTGTGTTTCAGTCCTTGTTCGGACGGGTCATCACACTACCTCCCCCTCAAGAGCGAGGTCCCTTTGAGCGAGTAACTGATTCTGAGTCCTCGACGAACGCATCATAAGCAAACAAGGCGAAGAGGTTCCTAGTATACTCAGTTGCAGTGAGCTTTGCAGCGATCTTAGGTTCAACGTTAGTGGCTGGCTATCTGTTGCTCGTAAGCTTTGACAACGCGCGGTGCACTGCGTAGCAGTTCTTGTTTGGAAATCCAGTACAGATCATGAAGAGGGTGATACATAAAGTGAACTTGGTACTGTCTGTTGTGTCCTTTCCCTACGTGTTGTTTGATCCTTTCGATCTCATGCTCACCTTTGATTGCACGGGGAATCATGTCTTCTCGGTAGTCAAATGTCTTAGCATCACGGTGGAGATACAGTTTTCGATGCATGGAACACGGGATAGGTGCGTAGATGCGGCGACACATCAACGACGTACGAAGGCCCGAAGTGATCCTCACCGATCACATCCAACACTTTCCACGGGTCATAGTACAGCGGGAGAAGTTTGCAAGATACTCCCTCTTCTTCTGAGAATTCAGACATCTTGACCCAAACATAGCTGCCTACCTCAATATCCGACGGTCGGCGCCCCTTGTTCGCGTGATGGATCATGGCGTGCTGTCACTTGGTCATGGCTGCAACAACAACCTTGAGCAAGTGATCGTACTTGGCTTTGAAACCAGGCTTGCCAGGCGTTAAGCCAACTGGCTGTTCAGGAAATAAGTACGAGAGCAGATTCCGGATCTGCCAACCGTAATGCAGCTTGTTGGGCGTCATGCCGGTGGCGGAATGGACGGAGTTGTTGTACAACCCCTTGGCGGAATATAGCTCTTCATCCCAAGTCTCTTGATCCGGGATAATCAAGGCGCGGAGGAGTTGAAACACAGTCTAGTTGATCTCCTTTGCCAAACCGTTGGCTTCGGGGTGTCGACCAGATGTCATGCAAAGTCTGATTCCTAGTTGAGATATGAAGTCCTTCCATTCGGTACTAATGAAGCGCGGATCCCGATCGCTCACGAGAGTCTTCGGGGCACCGAACTGCAGAATGTACTTCTGTTGGAACTCACGGATTACTAGGTCTGTGGGAGCGTGAGGTGGTAAGGGAATCAGATTGAGGAACTTCGAAAATCGGTGAACAATCACCATGATTTGCGAATAGCCGTTCTTACTTACTTTTCCTATATCCGATTCGGTGAAATCGACGGAGATAGACTCCCCGGGACCATCGGGAATGGGAAGAGGTGTGAGTAGCCCCATGGGGTTTTGTCTGCATGGTTTGATTCGTTGACAGACTTGACATTCAGCTACAAATTTCTCAGCAGTCCCTTTCATGCCAGGCCAATCAAATTGTCTCAGCAAATTAGCGTACGTTCTAGCCATGCCGAAGTGCCCGCTCCGGCCATGAGCCAAGTCCAAAAAGTGTGTGCGGAGAGGCTCATGGTTGGGTACACACAAACGGTCATGGTTCCCGTATCGGTGAAAAATCAGTCCTCCATACTCGTGGAAATCAGAGTGACTACTGAGATCAGTCCGCAG